AATCAACAAAATCGAAATTGTGCAAGGATTCGTGCCCGGAAATGTCGTCGTATGCGGAGCCTCCCTAAATGTTATGACCCGTTAAGAGGCACACGAAGAAACATTTCGTAATAGGAAAGCGCCACTAGCGGCGTATGACGAAATTTTTTTCGGGCATGGGTTCCTATCCAATTTAATCCCGATAATGTGATCTAGCTACCATAGAAATTTGTCGCAGCATTTATGCTACCCTTTGGGTTAGATGACGTTTTTAAACTGGTACATTTTAACAAAAAAAAACTAAAGTAGACATTTAAAAAAAAAAAAAAACAAGCTGTAGATTGGAGAGAGAAACCGATTTGCAAATTAGAAATCAGCCACTTGAAAACATCCAAAAAACCGTTAAGAAATCTCTCGCAACAGTAAAATAATGTTCTTCAGCGTTATTTTTCTGTATTTTCTTCGCTTATTTAGCTCTTGGCTCCTTAATTTTTCCTAAAGGTTAGTTCCAGTCTCCAATGCGCACCAACAAAATACGACCGCAAAGAGTTGGAATGTGCTTGATAGTTTTCAAATGTTCTTTCTTAACTCTTTCACGCAGATAAATTAATACAATGAAAAAAATATTCTTTTTGTGACAATCAAATCAATTTATGATATTTATATTATTCATTTTTTTTTTAATGTAAAAAAACAACAACTGATTTCTTGTACCTCTACTTTTTCCCCACCCATCTAAGTTGTCCCTCTTTCAACATAGAATGCAACTAATTCTTATACCTAGAAACAATAAAAAATACACTGATGTAAGAGATAAAACAAAAAAGTAAACACGTGTCATATAGTAGTTTTCGGGGAAATATATTACAGTTAAACTGAAGAAACCGTCTGTGTTTAGAGACTGCCTAAGATATTTGTCTTCGAAATCCTTTCAGCAATAAAATTTTATGGGCCTTTTTCACGGTTCGAACGTCCCTTTAATAATAGAACTAGAATAAATCAATCAGTGTTTGGGTATTTCTCTTCGATAGACTCGGATTTAATAATGCATCGATCTGTTGTAGACGTGCATGAAAGCACTTCAACGTAATTGCGTCAATATTGTGTTCGTAATGTTGAATGGAAGGCGAGAGTTGTTAAAAGTTTGATTTTGCGAACCGTAACTCTCTGATAGAGATTTTATTGGTGAAGTGGGTGTATCTGATTATTAAGTCACTCTGTGCAATGTAGAGTGTTGGTTCAATGCTGAATGTTAATCAAAATTTCAGTTTTTTTTAAAAAATTTTAATTTATGCAATGCACATGTTTATTTTTTTTCATTTTGTCTATTGTCAATAAATAAATTTTAATCAATTATTGAGGTCTAAAAATCACATTAGTAAAATTCGCATCAAAAATTTATAATTTTTTTAAAATCAAGCGTTAATACGTACACTGCCGACAGAAAGATTGTAAAAAAAAAATGATTGGCGATGTATCGGCAAATTGTGAATACCATTGATTACGAAAAAGGCCCAGTTTACGAAGATTATAGACATCGATAAATATCGATAATGTCATTTGCTTCTTGATAATTGATTGATTTGATTATCAATTGATAACATAATTACCATTACGATATGTTTAATTACCTTTTACCTTTTTTTAATTATAATTAAGAGATCGAAGACAATTTGGTAAAAAAATGTAGTATCTCCTCTTTTTGAATAACCGAAAACTATCCAAGATAAAAACATTTTAATTTTGTAAAATAGAAAAAAATATCACTTTATATTGTTAAATACCGTTTTTTAACTGTGATATATCACAATATTAATATTTATATCGTGCACGAGATCATTGTGAAATATGCATCGGGTCCGCTGAGCGATCGTATTTTCTCAACTATATTTGGTGCATCAGAAAAGCACTGCGTTGATTAAAATATCCTGTATAGATACGATGGGTACAACATATTAAAAAAATCTTAAAATAGGCTCCTCCTGCATCGATTGATTGCTTCAGACGAGATTTTCAGACATTGAAAGTGTATTATATAAACTCACGTTCGAGTAAATGTTAGGATTAACATGTTAACGAAACGTTCTTACATAAAGCTAAAATAATTGTATGTTTTATGATCAAACTATTTTTTTTTTTGTTGAAGATATTGTCACGTAGAATAAATAGGACTTAGTCTACAAAGTACGAGAGCCTTATTCAACACCTACAAAGTACAGTGAACAAAGTAACTGCGCCTCGGCTTGAGACACCCAGTCTTTTATAGGAATAATAACAGGAAGTGATAGGAACAGGAAATGATATGCTAGAACATTCTAGAAACTTCTAGACGAAACATAAATAATAAATAAAAGCTCATTTTAGAGTTTTTTTTATTTTCTTACAGTTCTGCGGATCGAACCCTGAATCTCATTCTTTCCAGGACGACAATTCTGACCTCTCGGCCACACTGACACGTCATAGCATCCTCCTTGGAAGAAAAAAAAACAGCGTCCTCTCTGTTTCCCCTTTGAATGTTCTGGCACGTGATCGGGTGGTTGGTCCTCGATACTCCAACTTACTCTCGTTCTTAGATTGTTTCTTTGTTTTGTAACTTCTCTGTTTTTCGGCATTTTCGGTTTCACATGGTTCTAATCGAAACGATGGGTCATGGTAAGGCTTCATGCGCACCACATTGACGGTGTCTGTAGTTTTGCGCCTTGTAGATGGAGCGACGTCTTCGACCTCGTAAGTAACATCAGATAACTTTCGCTTTATTTTGTAAGGTGCAAAATACTTCTTTAATAGTTTTTCGGACAACCCAACTTTTCGAATTGGTCTAAAAATCAAAACAAGTTCACCTGGTTCATAACACATTGGTCGGTGTTTTGCATCGTATCGTTTCTTGTCTTTTTCTTGCGCATCAATGGTACGAAGACGAGAAAGTTGTCTAGCTTCTTCTGCTTTGCAGACAAGATGCGCAGCATAATCAGTTTCAAATCCAGGTTGGTTAGGAAACATTGTGTCCAAAGTTGTTTCAGCTTCATAGCCGTGAAAAAGATAAAATGGTGTGAAGCCAGTAGTTTTTTGCTTAGCTGTGTTATAGGTGAAAGTGACAAAGGGTAAAATAGCATCCCATGTTCAACGTCAACATACATAGACAGCATATCAGCTAACGTATTGTTAAATTTTTCCGTGAGGTCATTTGTCTGAGGATGGTAGGCTGTTGTATTGCGATGATCCACGTCACAGAGTTTCAATAGCTCCGATACAACCCTCGAGAGAAACACAGATACACGATCCGAGATGAGAACTCTTGGAGAACCATGTTTTAACAGAATGTCTTCAAGCAGGAATTTTGCTACCTCGGGAGCTTCGGCGTTGGGTAGAGCTTTCGTAGTGGCAAATCTAGTTAAATAGTCTGTACACACTACAATCCATTTATTTCCTAAAAGTGACTTAGGGAAGCGTCCCAACAAATCAATACCTATTCTATGAAAAGGGGCTTCCGCAGGAGGGATCGGCATCAAGCTTCCAGGCGGCCTTTGCGGCAGACGTTTACGTCGTTGACATTCCTTACAATGAGAAACGTACCGTCTAACACTTCGGTACAGTCTAGGCCAATAAAAGCGCTTTCTTATTCTATCCAATGTTTTGGCAAATCCCAAATGACCTGCTGTTGGCGCGTCGTGGAAGTGATGAAGAATTTCTAGGCGTAACTTAAAAGGAATAATCGGTAACCACTGTCTTCCGACAGATTCATAATTCCGCTTACAGAGTATACCATCCATAATTTTATAATTTGAATCATTACTTCGCTGCC